AGTTCTGTGTGCAAGAAAGCATTTTAATGAAGAGGACCATATAGAACTAATCAAGAACTAACTACAAACATTTATACTGGTAACAAAATCTATCTATTTATGAAAAATACTAAATGACCAAATTTAAATTTTGACTGAATATTTTAGCTCTTTATAGCTTCTAATAATTGCAAAAATACCTTTTAGCTGCTTTCTTGCACACAGAACTTAGAAATCCAGCCTTGAATTTGCTAATATTTCAATGCAGAAACTTGCTAATGTTCCCCCATCTACGTCATCGCATGACCACGCCCACCACCGGAAGTGATTTGACATAATGGCTGCAAGGCAACTTTTGACCCAAGATTTAGTATAGAATTGGTACTTTTTAATAATTTTAGCTATTTTTCCTATGATTCTTTCTTTATTACCAACTTATTTCAGGGGAAAGAATTTTGGGGTGTAGTTACCCTTTAAATGTAAGTATATGTTAATGACGTCAAGGCCGCTCTTTATTTTTAGTGTTAGCGTGTAGTTATCGACGTTTTGAGATATCAGTGATTCTGATATATCAGTGATATCTTGATCACTTGTGCTGATTCGTTTCCTCTTATTGGCTGGTAGTCTGTCACTGATGCAGTAATATCTATCATTGATACAACCAGTGAATGATACTAAAGTCCATTTGCATTCACCTGAGCCCAGGAAGTGATTAGAAACCCCACCCAATAATTAACACAATGCAACAATATTGTGAAAAGTATGGCTGTACTTTCTGCATGGGTTATACAGCCAACTTGGAGCTAAAGAGCTAAAGCTGCTTCTTAAGTAGTACAATAGATGCGGCAAAAGGAGAGGAATACACTGGTATGTTTATTTTTACAATAGAACTTGTAAGTCAAAAGTTATTGGAAGAAAACAAGGGCTCAGGTGAACACAAATGGACTTTAGTGTATTCCTCCTGTTAATAGAGAGAGAGAGGGAGGGATAGTTAATATCATTAATTATGTGTTAAAATTGTGTTTGTAAAATTTTAGTATTATTGATTTATTTGGGTGTTTGGTTCTACTAATTTTCAGTGTTTTCTTATGTTAATGATGTCATTAATTTACTGTATGAGTCAGTTGGTGGTCTTTTAGTTGATTGATAAGTGATCCTAAGTCTTTATTAATGATTATATCAACTTCTGTTCTGGGGCTAAGGATACGACACTTTCTCTGGACAACAAAATAATTTGAATAAGTGTTCTGACTACTGGAGAGAGAGAGAGAGGGGGGGGGAGAGAGGTTAACAAAAATTATAAAATTTAAAAGCACATGTCATTAATTGTACTGTATAAGTATACATTAGATCTAGAGGGAGTTTAGGAGACTTTTGTTCCTCATATTTAGCCCTAGGTGTCTGACAGTCTACAATTTTTAGTTAGATTGGCCTTAAAAAATTTATTTCCAGGTCTACCACTGGGTATGTACATGTACAGTACATTACAATAAGGTAATGTAGTTATGATATCACTGAAATACACTAACTTCATATCAGATTCATCTTGAGCTCCAGTAGAAGAAACTGGTTCAAATTCAACTGCTTTTATATAATAATAAGATACTGTAGGCACTGCTCCACACTGGGTCTGTAGCAGGGGCGTATCTGAGGGGGGGCCTACAGGGGCCTGGGCCCCCCCATCAATTGTTGTAGATAATGATATTCATTGTTTGTTTTATCACTTACCACCTAGTGATAAAAATTAACCACCTTGTAATCATGTACAATACATTGCACAGCAGCAAATGTACAAGAAATAAGAAGTAGACAGAAGCAAAACACTCATTTTATATTAATCATTGCTGAAAATGTAAGATTTTGATGCTTTTAAAATACGCAAAATGCTATTTTAGTGCACTATAAGAACGCTAAAAAGGGGTGTGGCCAAATTTTCGGCGCGCTTCGCGCGCCATTTATCTCCGGGCCCCCCCATCATTTCCTTCCCAGCTACGCCCCTGGTCTGTAGTGATTCCTTTATTAATTGATGTCTGTTAATTTTTACTAGTTTATTGAGGTGAGGGAGGAGTGGGTGTGGTGATATGATGTGAATTGATTTTGAATTATCTTTTAATATTAATTGAGACGAAACTGGACTGACTGTTAAGTATCCTACTAGCACCTGTAAATAATAATAATTAAATTATTACTTTACATAATTTTGAATTATTAAAATTGCTCCAAATTTGGACAAAAGTCCATGGGCCAAATTTTGTCAAAAATGAAAAGTAAAGAATTCTCAATTTTATTACATTTTCTGATACATATACATGTACTTATGTTGCGTAGAAAGTTTGAGCTGATTCCGATCAAAATTGTTTTATGAATTTTTGAAGTTACTTCAAAATCAGGTCAAAATCCCTGTTATAGTACAGGGACTTTGGTCAAATTTCGCCAAAAATAAAAAGTAGA